TAATAATAATAATAATAATAATAATAATAATAATAATAATAATAATAATAATAATAATAATAATAATAATAATAATAATAATAATAATAATAATAATAATAATAATAATAATAATAATAATAATAATAATAATAATAATAATAATAATAATAATAATAATAATAAATAATAGTAACAATAATAATAATATTAGTTATAGTAATGAATAATAATAGTTGTTATAATTTTAATAATTATTATTATCATAATTTTTGATCTGTCTGTTAGGGATGTTGAAAAATGAATAATATACGAATGATAAATATTGCTTACACTTAATTAGCATTTATTTGTAATTCATTTTTCATTTCAGTTGCTTTAATATTTAAGCAGTAAATATGATTCGATTAACTGAATTAATTTGAAAAGTGTTAAAAGATTTCAAAAAAATTGTACTTGTAAAAGTTTTGATTATCGAAAAAGGAAAGTGAAGAATGTTTTCAGCGTAGTTTGGAATGGAGAAATGAATTAGATTTATACAAAAGTGGCCTTCAAGTTTGTCCAAATAATGCAAAAATTCATTATAATATAGCAAAAATTATGGCTGATAATGGTGACATCAATCGTGCAACTGTTAATTATGCTAATGCCATAAGGTATGTGTCATGCTTTATAAACAGTAGGGAACGAAGTAATGATAATAACAAAAGTTCGAAATTGTCGTTGATCATATTACTATCACTTATTGTTCAAGAAATTAAGTGTATTAAATGAAGTTTAAAGTTTAAGTGAAACGCATATCTTCCTGTAATTCTTGTAAAATAAATTGATGAAAATTTCTTTAGCATAATTTTTTCAAAAACAAGTCATTTGCTTTTTAAATGTTACGAATTTGTATTATAGCTATGTCAATGTACTTTTTTATAGATAAATTTTTATGCTTAATTAAATTGCTCAAACAATAAACATGCAATTGTTATTGTTTTGAAAATTTCATAAAACATTTTTGTATGTATTACTATCATGTGGCAGATAATTAAATGATATAATAAAAGATCAGATCGTTCGGATATCATCAAGATAAATGTTCTCAATTTTTCATTGCGTTAATTAAATGAATATCATTTTATTCATCAGTTATACCTTAATTTCAGGTTAAATCCTACCTATGAAAACGCTATGAATAATTTAGCAAATATTTACCTTAAATATGATCGAAGCGTGGAGGCCGAACAGCTTCTCCGTAAAGCCGTCGAAATAAAGCCAAATTTTCCTGCTGCATGGATGAATCTTGGACTAGCACAGTTGGCCCAGAAACGATATAAAGTTAGTATTTTCATTTTTAGCACCTAAATTTGGTTTGTATTTAACCCATAATAACTCATGTGTCCTGCAAAGATTATAATTAATTAATTTGGAATGAATTTTTTCTAAAGTAATTAGAAATTTCGGAATAAACGATAACGCTTGATTTGCTGATAAATCTGAAGATAGACTTAGTAACAAAGATAACATTCCTCTGATCACAACATAATTGAACCACTAAATATTGTTTTCTAAGAAATTCTTCAAAATTTTTATTAACAAGATAAAATTTTGTAAAGCTTTACGACATTTTTTGCATTTCAGGATGCAGAAAATAGTTTCGAGCAGGCACTCAGTTTACGTTTTCCGTATCCGGATTGCTTATACAACATGGGCTTGCTTTATTTGCGACAAAACCAGAAAACCTATGCAAAGCAAATTTGGCAAAACATTACCAGGTGAAGGAATTCCTATGGCTGAAAAAAGTAGCATTATCGAAGGGAAATGATGAGTAACCGAGTTTTCCTGAAGATCGGGAAGCGGGAATTGCGTCTCAATGAATGAAATAACTTTTAATTTCAAAATCTCACTCTAACTTAAAATTTGTAGGTTTGGGCAGTTCAATGCATTCATTTTTGCCTTTTACATTGAAATTTCGACTCAAATGAATATCGTACTGACAATTTATTATATATTCGCGATGTAATTGTGAAAATTTAAATTCTGATGTGCTTATTAAATTAATTGATTTTAATTATTCCAGAAACACATTGAACTTGAAGTTTTTTCAGGGCAAATCCTGGCCATAAACGAGCCTGGTTGAATTTGTTGGTATTGCTTGATGAGACAAACAATTGTGCAGAAGCAATTAGCCTGGCTGATAAGGTGCTTAAATACCATAGCAAGGATGCATCGGTCCTTTCTCAGCTAGGCACCTGTTACGGTAAACTCGGAAAATATGATAGTGCCGAAAAGTTCCTCCTGTATGCTGTAGAACTCGAACCAACAACAGTAGCTTATTGGAAAAATATCGGTAGATCATTAATTTGTAGAGCATAAAGTTGGCATAGGTGTGTACCAACCATAGCTCAGTTGGTAGAGCGGAGGACTGTAGCGTATATATGGAGCAGTAATCCTTAGGTCGCTGGTTCGAATCCGGCTGGTTGGATTGTCGTATTTTGTTAGAGAAAACAGTTGTTCGAATGAATTACTAAGTCGTACTGAATGTCGTAAGTGTCCGTGCGTATTAATCAGTTAATCTTACGTGTTACGTGTACATTAACACGAAGGGACCTTTATTTCGCAGTAATGTATTGAATTCATTTTAGGTGCACTTTATCATCGCTGGAATAAATTTGAAAAGGCGAAATTTGCATACTGGAAAGCATTTCAAGTCCAACAACAAGTTTAAAATGCTCAATGACACAAGAATAAGTTGACAACAAGATGGCGAATGAAAATTGCCGGTGTGACAAAGTTGTTGACATAATGTAAAATCTACAAAAAGAAAAGAATGTTTTGCAAATAGTTGAAAGTTGAGATTAGTGAAGAATATTGGACAATTCAAGAGTCAACATCCGGTCATCAATTTGTTAGTGTATATCCGGTCATCAATTGTTAGTGTTTCTGTTAATGCAATAGAATAATGTGATGCCTTTGTATATTTTTCCTTATTTTTAACTTTTATAGATATTCTGCAATAAATTATCTAATATAAAGTGATTTACATGCTTAAAAACGTATCAAAATGCAAAATCAATATTACGAATGAGAAGGATTTAAAAGATTTGTTTGGAAAAACAGTTAGAAGATTTAGAAGTAGCAAAGTTGAAAGTTATATTTTGAGTGGATGACATAATACTTTTAAGAAATTGAGAAAACGAAGTGATCCGAAAAAGACGTAAAATAGATGATAACAAATGTATTTTTGATAACAAAAACATAGATGAGCTGATAATTATTAAGCATGAGAGTTTACGCTCAACGTGAAAAGAACGTTAACATATGACGAGAAATGCGAAAACATAAGAAGTTTCAAGGTGTACAGACGGATCAATGAATAAATGAAAAAAAAAAGGGGAAGAAAGAAATTTAGAAAGAGGTTGGACGAGGGAAACAAATCATAGGAAATGAACAGGTAGGGAAGAGAAAAAGGTGATTAAAGGGAAAATTGGAAAGATTTGTCGAATGACGTAACTTTCTTTACATTTTAGGTGAATCAATGGGTAAGGATGAAAATTAAGCAAGGTTTGAAGCAAAAGTCGAGTTGTGAAATGAAGCAGGTAACACAGGTAAGTAGTGCATAGAATCTGTTGAAATTCAAACATTTCACCGAATGAATACATCGATTTAATTCAAACAAGTTAAAATAGTTCAATAAGTGCATAAAATGGTAGAATGAGAAAGTTATAAATTGTCATGAGCTATTGATAACAGTTGATAATAAAATCAATGATAAATTTAAATCAAAGATATATTCAATCACAGATTACAAATTGTAGCTACGGGTAGAATTAAAATAGTTGTCATACGACGATGACATATTATAGCAAGATAAAACAGGAATTGATGGGAATAAAGAGAGTGAGGAATTTTATAAACTTTATAATTTCATGATGTATTTTCAAAAAAAAGTGAAGAAATTCAAGCTTAACAATTAATGTAACTAATGTAACAATATGAATTAATAATATAAAGAAAGAAAGGAAAAGGGAACCAAATACAGACAAAAAATATTATGAAATAATCAAATTGAAAAATTAGGGCTTATGGTTATGAAAAAAAACGAAAGTTGAGTGAATTTTTGAAGAAATAATGAACACCATTATTTGGCATAATTCCAGATGTATACAGGACAATATCCGGAAAAATGACATCGGATAGTCGGAAAAGTAACATTAAAACAATTAATAAAAGTATAATGAGAAAATCAATTTTAAGACTTTATAATTTTATAATTATAAAATTTTACAATTCTATATGTGTGTTTTTAATTTATGAGAAAGAGTAATCGATGAAGCTATCAAACAGTAATTGTGAGTAAGTACAAATGACTTTATATTTAATCATAAATTAAATTTTGCTGGAAACATTACCGTACTTAGTATTTGTATAATCAGTAAATTCGAATATTATATTCTTTTCCCCCTTTCCCTTTTCTTTCAAAATGCTAAATATATAAAAAATTTCATATATATATAAATTTTAAGAGATCAGTCTGTTGATTACTGTTCTCTTCGTTTTTTCTCATCTAATTCATTCATTAGCTTAAATTAATTATTGGTATTATGTGTATATTAAACAAAATCATATTCCATTCTTTAAATTGACATCTTTCTAATTGGTATTTGTCGCAACATCGATCTTCTCCGAGATGCCGAGGAGAGCGGGAAGAGAGAGAGAGAGAGAGAGAGCAGTATTGCATGCTTCAATTTCATTCTATTCAAATTTTTTTTACTAAGTTTTTTCATTATTGCAACAAATTTGTTTATATGCATGTATTCCTGTTTCTATTTCTTGCAGTAATTAAATTTATTTTAATTTGATTAAATCAGTATTTCAATTCCCATCCGAATGTTATTTCTAAAGTCTGTATGATATGCTTGCTATTTTTCTTCCTAAATCACTTCATACATTTCAGCATTCATTAAACGGTTAACTGAATCATTACTTGACCAGTACTATCGAATTATCGCTTGGCCAATACCATTGTACCATTGTTTGGCCAACACCATTCTAATATGTTTAATCTATTTTAAATCTGTCAACTAATTACTACAAATTGAAATATCCATAATAACGCATTCAATTTGTCAACCAATAAACGTAATAATGTCTTTGTTTTTACACAATTTATTTGTTTTTTACTGCAAAAATGACTTTGACTTTGAAAACTTAAATTATTTATAATAAAATTTGCATGAAATGAATGAAAGTAGGTTAATTTCTTTAATTAATATAAGCAGTAACAAACAAAAAGTTGTTTAATTTGAAAAAAAAATGTCATTTTCCTCGAGGAAATTTACTTTTTAATAACTTATACTTTATGTTTACTTTTCACTTTTCACCTCATAATTTGTTTCATTTCATTTCAAACATCGTTGCAATATTTAACTTCATATTAACAAATATCTCTGAATTTTTTTTTTTTGTCCAAGAAAGTTGGCATGAAAATTTTTATAATTTTAGAATCAAACAAAAATCAATTCATTGACAAACAATGGGGAATCTATTAAAGGTATGATTCATTTACGTATAAACCGATTAAGCTTTACACGTAAATGTGACGTACGTGAACAACAAAACATAAGTGAATACAATGAAGGAGAAATATGCAATCATTTAATGGGGATCATATAACAATATTACATAAAATTAAAAAAATTCATCAGAAGGGGTTTTGCAACCAACCATAGCTCAGTTGGTAGAGCGGAGGACTGTAGAATCCAATATGTGGTAATCCTTAGGTCGCTGGTTCGAATCCGGCTGGTTGGAGTGGTGGTTCTTTTGCTGTTACAAAAATGACAACTAATAATAACTACAAATAGTTCGTATAAGTTCTTTTTATATGTGAGAACGAAAATGATTAAACACAATGACAGGTTATGGCGACACTTTAAGACACGTATCATTAGTATATTTTCAACAATCAATTCTTTAATTTTCATCAAATTTCTGTAATTTAAAAATTTCTGTAATTTTTTGGTACCATTATAATCCTATTAATATGTATTATATTTCAAATATATATATTTTATCAGAAAAGGAATATTTTTTTGATGGATAAAAAATGAAATGAAATCATGGTGAGAATGGAATCCTTAATTTTGTGCATATAATTGGAATATCACTGTAATGGATTCTAATCCAGAAATATAATAATTGATTGCTCAAATATTTCTTACCAACAAAAATTTCTCATTAATTTTTCCCACTTAAAGCAATTTGAGATCAAGAAAAGAAAAATATTCAAATGAACTAAGCAAGTACAATTAGTAAGGTGAAATTTCATTTTTCGCGACACTGTTTGGTAATTGTTGTGCAGTCAACTGACCGTATCATCAGAATCATCTCCATTCTCCACGTTTCTCTCATTGGATTCTATCGATTTCTCACATTTCGATTTTCCCTTTATCAGAAAATCTTTATCAACTGTAATATCCTCACAACGGTGTTGATCTTTCTTCATTCGTGATCCGTGTTCGATTTCACGGCGCAATTGTTCCGCATAAATAAACGCCGCACCAATCATTCCCTTAACATTTTCAGCTTTTTCTTCTGATGTTCCTGAATCGCCGTATTTTCCTGAGTTATCAAGAAACTGCGAATTACTAGTGGAAGGTGTTTCTGCTTCATATGCATTCAAATCTTGGCCTTTTTCTGTTGAGAATTTTGATATTCCACATTCCTGTCGTGCTATTGCCTCTAACTTTTTTTGAAATTGTCCCATTACAGAAAAGTCATTGTCAGACTGTCTCACAATTTCAGCATTATTTTTGCATTCGTTTACATCCATTTCGATGCAAAATTTTTTTCCAATTCCTTCCTCTAAAGCTGATGACGAAAATGATGCTTTCATGCTTAATGACACTGAAATTTCATTATATCTTAGAAAAACTGAGAAATGTTCCAAAACTGTGCCATAAATAAAACAAACTTCCTAAACAATGTCGAATTTTTGGCATTCTTTATATTGCATTATATTTGTAAAAAATTGAAGTACTTGATGAATGAGAAACAATTGTTAGCCTTGAAAGTTGAATTTTAAATTCGACTCAATCTATAACTTTATTACAGTTCTACCAAATCTAAAGTTCAAGTCAACATTTTTGCATCAATAGAAATCTATAATTTTGTTATTTAATTGCAGTTTGACTCATGATGTCAAAAGGACGTTTCCAATATATTGCCTGGTGAATAACATTTCTTTTCTGACTACTACTTTAAAATTGTTCTTGAAATTTCAAAATTTTTGATTATTTCCGGAACGTAATTTAACCGTAAGATTAAACAAAATTGAAAATAAATAAATGAGGATGGAAAATTCATGCATTCTTTACCTTCAGCTGCTAAGTTCAATTCTTCCTGCACGGCTTCCAAAAGGCGGCAATGTACATATTCACGAATATGTATTGATAAATTGTCTGGATTCATATGATAAGGCCAATATTTAAGGACAGAATAGGCGTGTGCAAGGGCGCAATTCAATTTATCACTGAATAAAAATAGAATAATATTTAGACGGAAGATTTTAAAAGATCTGAACAACTATCTAAGAATAGAATAAGTAAATGAAAAGTTGAAATTGAAACCTTTCAAATTACCACAAAAAAAGAAAATAGAAAACCTTTGTCTTTTCAAAGCGAAAATTTCTATCCATCAATCACAGCAGAAATGTAACTAAAAATCTTTTTGAAAATTAAAATGTAAAGAGAAAAAAAGAAAGCAATAACTTACTGTTTAAAATGATATTGATACATAAGAATATGGGCCAGATAATTTTCAGGCTCCTTTTCTAATAACATCTGTAATCGTTCCAATGTTTGCATTCTATCAGCATCCCAATCACATCTTCTAAAAAATTTAATCAAAATTAGAAGAAAAGACTGAAAGAATAATTACATTTGATAATTTGATCCAAACTTACATTAAGAAAGTTAGCGGTTGTCCATGGAAGAATAAAGCTTTGAGCATACGATCACACCGTACTCTTGCTTTATCAGTTTTTGAGTTGGCAATGTAGACCTGAAGAATTTTCTAACTCGAACAATGAAATTTTAAATCCCATACTATCAATTCTAAACATAATAGAGTATGAATTTGTTGAGAAGCAGCTAGTTACATTTCTATCACTGCATTATTTCGACCTTATCAATTCTTTTTTTGGAACTTATCAACTTTGATAATCGTAGCTTAACTTATCCCTCTTTATTTGATGTAACATTTATTATCTTAGCAAGTTTTGTTTTGTTTTGCTTTTAATTTGAACTAAAATCCATTCAAAATAAAAATTCTAATTGAAAAAGTGGAAAAAGAATTATACCGAATACAAGCATAAATCCCCGAAAGCATTATATTTGGGAAATGTTTCGTTCCCTTTGTCAACGACACTTTCTAGTAGCTTTAAATCGTCATCACAGAGTAACGAAATGCTAACTGCCATTTGTAATTCCAAAATTGATCGAAACTTTAGAATTCTAAGAAAAAACAGACGGAATTTGTTATATAATATAATAAATATGGACGCATATCAAGTTGAAATTGTCCTTTCAATATCATTTGTAATTATGTCTGGATATGAAATTCAAATTTTGAATATTGCAAACATAAGCTTTAATTTTTTGACTTAAAATTTAGCTTGATTAATATTGTCATTATCTAACAATAACAAACATTACTTAGCATAATGAAAATCCGGTTTTACTGTCAATGCTAAGTCGCATAATTTCTGGATATGCTGCAATTTCCGTCTATTATCATTCTTGAATCCTTTTTTCCAGAAAACTTCACCAATATCCGGATTTGCTCGTCTCCAAAAGATTACCAATGCTTCTTGTAAATACAGACTAGCTTCCACTTCGTTTGTCTCATTTTCTAATTTTTTACCACTGAAACCAAAATTTACAATTTGAAGTTTTGAATTCTGAAAAATTTATATTGTTCAGTTTTAGTTTAAATATAAAGTATAATTTTAAGCTTGAGCTAAGAATGCGAAAACCTGAAAGGATTGTATCGTATCGCACGTGATATGCTTACGTAACGTACAACCAATTGCTTACAGCGGCGTGTGTCATACCCGGTGGGTTTTTGTTCCCATATCCGTTCGAACCGGTCCAAATATTTGTCAACCTATGTTAAATGAAAATTTGTACTCAAATAAGAAGTTAGATCAAATTTCGAAATGTTAACAGATTTTTCCAAATATTTACCAATATTTTTTTTGTTGTTTCAAAATGTTTCATAAAATCCAAATCATTAAATACCACACCCTTTGATAGTTTGAGAATGAATACTTATCAGATTAAGATATGCTTATTCTTTAGAGAACTGATAATTAAAAAGCTATTAAATTATCTTATTTATTTAATTCTATTTAATTAATGAATCAGTTGGATATATCAATCATTCGGATCATTCTATTTTCTTTATTTACCAAGTCCTTTATTCTTTTTTACTTCAAATCTCTGGGACATTACATCCATTCATATACTACCGTCCATACCGATGATTGCTTACAATCACAAAAGGAGGGATAGAAAAATGTAAATTAATAAATTACAGTAAAAAAGAAAAAAAATATATCAAATGACTACAATTCCTCCATCGTCACGTGTGTGCGCAAACGCTAACAATAAGATGGCTTCCAACCGATATTTCCCTTTCATCGATGCTTCTTCCAAACTTTTCATTACCAGTGATAATTCACCATTTGATAAGGCTTTCAAAGCTTGTTTATATGGACTGTTAAAAAAGGAAAAAAATAGAAAATTAAATGAACTCTTTCTTGCAACAATTTTAAATAAATTAAAATTTACATAATTTTTCATCTAATTATGCCATTCAAGTTATATCACTGGCAAATTATTAAAGAAAAAAAAACAAAGCAAAAATAAGAATGGTATTTTATGTGAATAACAAATTACTAACTAAATAATATGCCTGTGTAAGATTATTTGAATCATTTAAATTTAAGTTTAATTAAATTTTCCAGTATTTTCAAAATTAAAATTAAAATTGTTACCCATCTTGTATTGGAACAATATCATCTGGAAGTACACCAAGTTGCTCATTCCGCACATTCCAAATATCTTCAACCAATGGATCATTACAATCACATGCTAACCATAAATTGATGAAATCTTGCGTTAGGAATGATTTTAGTGATTTTGACTGAAATAGAATACACGAAAAATGGAAAACTAAATGATCATTTCGATTCAAATTTCGCATTATAAAAATCAAAATGTATCTAATTCAATGTGACACAAACATTACACTGATAATCGATAAAAAAATTTGATAAATTCTTTATGATCAAAGTAATATTTAAAATATACAAAGAATTTCCATTGCTTACATAGCTATCGATCTGATCGCATTCTTCGTTAATTAACTGTTTCAAATCATTACTTAACGCTCGATTAATATTCTCCAACGGTATATCACGACAATCCTTACTTAATTCCATGCAAAAATAAACTAATGCATCTGGAAAAGTTATCATATCATTCGATGCCATCATGAATGTTATGTGATGCATCATATAAAGCAATTATCTATTATTACTCAAAAAATTAAATCACTTTTTTTAAAAATTCAAAAAATTTTTGCAAGTTGAACTTATCAAATGTCCGACTTGATTTACACATTATGAAGCCATTTCATAAAGGACTTTAAAGTATGAAAAGCTAGCATTTTCAAGGAAAAAAAAAAGATGAGTTAAAACAGAAGGTTTATTTGACAGATCAAAAAAAAGAGAAATTCATTGTAAATATGAAATTATTTGGTATAGAATCATAGCTTAAAACATAATCTGAATACGATTCATCGTAATTAAATTAATATTGCAATTATAAAATTGTAGTATTCAAATTATATTATTTAAAAACTTTTAATTAAATTCCAAACTATTTCACTTTTGTATAATTTAAGGAATAACAAATTTTTATGACTATGTAAGTCTGCATTATATGATTATTAGAATTCATGAAGCCTTAAGTGAAAATAAAAATAATTCCTAAATAATTAAATTGCCTTTTTCTTTGGCTATCAATTGAAGATATTATGGCCTAATTTAGATGAATGAGAAAGAAGTGTCAAAAAAGCATTGTTACCAATGAGTGCTTTTTCACGATCCTGTAAAGTTTTCCATAAGGCACATCGTTTTAATCGAGTATTTCGATCATATGATCGATATTCCAATAATTTACTTATGTGTGCTATTGCATATTTTACTGGCTCCTTTAAAAAAAAAGAAAAAAAAACTTCAAGTTTAGATTTTCAATCTTTTTTCTAAAAAAAAACTTCAGGTTAAAATTTTCAATCTTTTTTCTTTTCTTTTTTTTAAGGGAAGGAAAAAGAAATAACTGAATATATTAATAAATATTAAATTAAAAGGGAAATTTTTACCAAACAATTTGTTTTTTTTGCCAATGCTTCATATGCAACAACAATTTTGTAGTGAAGATCGATAAGTTTTGGGAAATGATCACTCATTTCTACATCATTACCATATAAAAGATATATCCTTATCGATTTCTGATAATTTTCAATCGCTTCTTCATACAATTCCTTCTTAAATTTAACTTCAGCAGAAACTTCATACCGAATTGCATCACGATATGAATCGCATCCTTTTGATTTATTCTTCAATAATTTCCCCTTCATTTTGTATTCTAAATAGTTCGATATGTATTAAACAAAATAGTAATTCAGTTTAGATTATTGTCAACACTAATTAGCGACCGATGGTTTTGGGAGATACTGGTAAAAAAATATTACTTATTTTCGACAGCAATTACCATCAAGAAATAAAAATTCAGACGGACTTTGTTTTATCGCAAAATATTCGCCAAAATTTAGTCTTTCCGAATAAACTCATCCAAAGTAGGTAAATAATTAGGAAGTTAAGTGAATCAGAATACCTTATCGTAACGATAGTAACGGTATCACTGTTCTGTTCGATATCAGTATCGTCGTATTGATTTCTTAGTGATATTTGAAAGTCAGGGAAGAATCAATACTAATTATTCAGTTTTCCCTCTTCAAAATTTGTTTCGTCGAAATAAAAAGATAATAACCAACTATAAATAATCAGTTATTAGATATAATCTATCGATCATTCAATGTTTCAGTTCAAATTTCAGTTAACCGCCAAGTTGACAAGTCAACAGCAATATGCTTTCACTTGCCAAGGAATACAAATAATGAACTGATGCTGTCAAGCGATGTGGTCAATGTTTTCTTCGGGTCATCATCTGTCGTTGCTGTTATTGGTGCAATCATCCCAATGACCCCGAGGAGTTGTATCTGTCGACCTCTGATACGTACTATTTGCTGCTATTCTGAGTTGTCACTCTTTTTTTCCCCCTTCCTTTGAAACCCAGTTCTTTTTTTCATAACACCTTGCCCTTTGACCTTGTTCTTCTTTCACACAAAATCAATGAATCCTGCATCATCGTATTGAAGTACAACAAAAATATACCATATTGTTTGCAAAGTGGATGAATTGGAAATTCCAATAGTATTTTTGATATTTAACATTGGATCCAACAGAATAGGATCATAAGGATGTCTTATCAAGGAAGATTCTAAAGATCGGCTAGTCCTGAACTGTTGATAAAATTTTGATGCTTTATATTTCAGCTGTTAACAGTTCCTCGCGATTTGTGCTATCGTAATATTATCCTTTCGTTTCAATCGCTATGTTAGATTGCTGCAAATAGGAAAATTTGTGAATATTACCTATAGCCAACACTGTCAATTTATACAAGAAATATCGGGAAGAGTGAATCGCTTGGAATGAATGCCTTCACGAAAGAATTTAGAGAATATCCAAGTTTCTTTTTTTTTTCTATTCTTCCTTCTTTCAACCTTGCCTTTCATTATCGGTTTCATAACTTCCTAAAAATTCTCTAAACCTTTCAAACTGTCAATGCAGTAACACATTACTTAATAGTGCTTTAATATGACATAATAAATATTTATCGTCATATCATACGACAAATAAAAGCACAGTTTCGTCCTTTTTCGCCAGAATTTCATTTTTACACAAAACTTTTCTTTAAATTTGCTTGCCTTTTTTGCATAATGTCCAAATTATGTTGCAATTTTAATCATTCATTAAAATTTATACTTAGCTATTGTGTGTGCAAATTATAAATTATCTGTTGAACATTTATTATGTCAATTTTGATCACAGATATTACTTGATATCAATTTGCTATCAGCTACAACTCCTTATAAAACGATGCGAACTAATCATTTAAATTGTTTCGTAAAAATTATTGTTATCATCGCAATCGCTATCTTCATTATTGGAATCAATATCTTCATCATTGCATTGTTTTTTCATCGCGGGCTAGATTTTCCGGCCAGAAAGAGAATTTTGAATGAATATTTGTTAAGGAACCGTTAATTCTCTTCTTTTCAACTATATGAGCTAAGATTGTGTTTGTTTCTAAATTAATTTTATTGTTCTTTACGAGAAATATTAGGTACGAATATCGATATAAAATGAACGATACAGGATTTATGGAAGGAAAAAGGAAAAATTTATATCTTTGGTCTTTCAAAATTTTGTTGTCAATTTGAAATCTTAATTATCTATGAATGAATTCATATATTATATTGCTTTTTCAATCGATCAGATTTTCATTTCTACAAAACTGTAAGCCCTGAGTATTCTTTTCATACACATAGGATAATGTTTCAAAAGTTTGAGTAAATTAAGTTTAGATAAATGAAGAACACTAAAAGCCCAAAAGCTTTCATTTTGCTGAAATTTGAATATAGAATCGAAATAAATAAGTGATTTTATTCAGGAAATCCAAAGTTAATCTTTGAACGAGAATTAAAATTTAAATATTCAAGATCCTTGTTGAAGTATCATTCAGGAAAGAAGAAGAGGTCAGATATATCGGATCAAACTTTGTCTTTGTTTTGAACTTTCCAAGAATTGTCGAAAGATATGACATCGAGAGAGCAAAGGAGTAGAAGAAGGAAGGAAGAGAGAAAGGCGTAAAAGCGTAAAAGTGGAAAAAAAAGTGTGAACATGAAGACGATAACATAATACCTTTTTTATAGTTTGCTCTAATAATTTAAATTAATTCGAATTAGAATAAATTAATTAATTCTAATTTAATCCAATTAGTATTTTTGATTAAGCTTCTAGTTTCTTATGCTGTTTAACTTGGATACATAAAATCAGCTGTTTTATCAAATCTTTCTCGTGCTTATCATTTAAATTCATTAATTCCCAATTAATTAAAATAATTTTAAACATTTACTTCAACAAAATATTATCCTTAACGATATGAAAGTAATAAAAAAAATGGAATCTTCTTCATATATTATCATATTAATATGAATTATCCATGGTAGTTTTTTGTTTCGTTAAGATTTTTTCTATCATTGCAGTGTTTCTTTTAATTTCTTTTTCTTTGCAACTACTTCCCGTAAATGTTTCTTCACATTTTTTTTCCCCTTTCCTCATTTCTCTCTCACTTGCTCTCTCTCACTCTTTCCCCACGAAAATATGAATGTAAAACAATTAATTGTATGTACTATTACAAAATGAGCATTGTAATGCATGAGTGATAACGATCCATCTGATAAGGTATATGATTGATTCCAAATGTACGGGAAATATCTGAAAGTTCTTGGCAAGCCAGGGTGATAACATCATTCATTAACTGATAAAGATTAGTTGAATCAAAAAATTGCTGACAGGTTTGTAATAAAAAAAAAAAATTAGACGGGATGTTTCAATGCAAATGTCTTTTTTTCTTTGACATGTGATTACGTCACTCCGTCAAATGACCATAGGGGCGTACAATTGACGTAGATAAATGAATATTTAGGTGAATGCATGTTTGCGACGTATTACTTTAAGTATCAGTCATATTTCACATATGCGAGAAAAAACTCCATACTTCATAAATTTCATAGTAACTTTTCATTTTCAAATTCAAATTCTTAAATTAAAATAAAATATAATGCATAAAGGATATGATCAGCACGACATAAAGCTTTTGATATTTATTTCAAATTTTTCACAAATTCAAATTTCTTCGTCAAGAGTTTTATCAATGACTTCAAAATGATCGAACATTATTAAATGTTACTGAGCTATATACGGTACTCCTATTTTAAATGAGGCAGGAATAGATAAGCATAAAAGAGGAAAGGTCGATTATTTCATAACGATCAAACTTTTCCCAAATATTCCAAATTTTTTTCCCATCCTGTCGAAAATTTGACTCTTATTATTGGAGTGTGAGCCTAGCTCAGTAAATGTTCAAAGTCAGATTAGCTGATTATTTAGTATTAGGAAGTGAAGCCTCAATTATCTGTTTGTTGCATGCATCAAAAGTATTGCTATTTGAGAGTCATTTTGATATCGAAGAATTCAATTAATTTAATTAATAAACATACAGCATCAAGGCATTCCGTCCCTTTCGTTTTAATTGATAAAAGCGTTTGCATGGAACAAGTAAAGTTGTTTGCAGTTCCTTCAATTATTTTGTTCTGTCGAATTAAAATTTGGATTGAAATTTTGGTAAAGTTCATATGTGGCTTAAAGTATTTCTTCTTCAACTTCTTTTTTCTTTCCAAACATCAATGTGAGTATAGCAAAATAAAAAGAAGTATTTCACTTCTGTAAATGAAAATGAAAAGAAGTTTAAAATCTTAATGATGCTTTCAAATCAAGCAAACTTTTGGAAATAGAAAAATCAGCGGGAGTTTCTTGAAATTTCACGAATTGTTTAGTTTGTAATATTGCTTGCAATATTTTTTGAAATTTTCATTTACAATGTATGTATGTAAATATTGCAGTTCTTGACCATTGGCCATTTTCGCGATGCGCGGAAATGAGAAGCTAGCCATAGACAAATTTTCGATTTTATTCCTTATTGTATTCTGGTCTTTTTTTTGATTATAAAAGACGTAGATTTTACAATCTCTGACTCTGACCTTTTTTTGATTTGGAAACTTTTGCAATTTTAAGGTAAAGTAATAGGACTTAATTGTGGTAGAATGAATAAATTTTAACTTGCTAAAATATGAAAAATATCAGATATAAATAGGTTACATCGATTTTTTTCTTACAATTGGTTTCGTTTGCATAAAACAGAAAGATCGCGGATCCACCGATTTTCTACGTTGTCGTGGTTTCCATCTGAAAATTTCAATATCGATGAAAAAAAAATTTTCCAATCAACATTACTGCATTTTATTTGCCTTACTTTTATGATTACTGCATGAAAAACAACGATGATTACAAATTGTCAAGAAGGAAAAGTCTTCTTTTTTTAAACCCATGGCAGTACCAATTAATTGATTGATCTGTTAACTACTTGACTGATTGATTTATTTCATTCATAATTTTCCCAAACGCATCCTCCTTATAAATTTGACATGAATTAGAATTTGAAACTTTTCCGTCATAAACATGATAAAGAATGATGAAGAATGATAATTATGCTAACTTGTCGACACATTTATAAATTACAGCAAAGGCACCCCAATAACGACATCCAATCTGTCCGATCATACCCAATTGACGATTTAAGCATGCCAACAAATGTAAACGCTGAACTTCATTCCTTATTAATAAAAACTTGAGAACTAGAAAGAAATTGTTTGATTATTTAAGTTCCATCAAA